TATCATATTAAATGGTACATCAATGTAATAAAAATGTGATTTTCTTATGGGCTGTTTGATAACCATTTCATCTTTAATTTTTCATTTTGGTTTTGAATATATTTTTTTTTAAATTGAAAACTTGTATGGTAACTATATTAGATCCCACATCGCCTAGGGAAGTTGATCCTCTGTGCTTTATATGTACATGCCCACCTTCTATAACACGAGACATTTTGTGAGCTCACTGACTTCAGAGTTCATCGGAACTCTGAAGTTAAGCGAGTTCGGACGAGAGCAATCCAAGGATGAGTGACCCACTAAGAAGTTCTCATATGAGTTCCCAGAAACAAAACCGTGAGGGCGTGGTCGGGACCCAAAGCGGACAATATCGTGCTATGGTAGAGTCGAGTCCGGGATGTGGTGGAGCTCGTGACAAACTACTTTTAATTTTAATTTTCAAAAACAATGAAAATTGAAAAGAAAAAAAAAATTAAAAACTCAAGGTCAAAATTTGGAAACACAATAAAGTAGTTTTCACTATTCACTTATTTATAAATTGAAAATTTGAAAATAATTACCAAATAAGATTTCAAAAAAATAAAACTAAAAACAAAATAATTATCAAACACTACTTATTATTATTCAAGAATAATATAAATCATATAAACTCTTTGTGATCTGGTATAAAGACCACAAAATCTTTAGCATGTGCGTGCACAGATTGAGAGGTGAAGTTGACTGTCTCCTGGACTTGCTAGAAGTTGGATGCAAAACAACATAGAAGAATTATCTCCCCTTCTAACCTCTATTTCATTTCATTTCTTCTTATTTAAACGAACAGTTAAGTCATGTTAACATTTTATATTAATTTTTTTATAAAGACAATAAGACAAAAAGTAAAGTATGAGAAGAGGAGAGGGAAGAGAATAAGAATAGAATGGAAGAAAATCCTACTCTCAAAAGAACCTCTTGTTTTTTTACAAGTGATACTATTTACATTAAAGACGTAGGGAAGTGATATGGTTCAAATTCATCTTTGGTGAGAATCAAACATAAGATCTTTTACATACAAAATAAAAAAAAATACTACTAGACCTTATTATTAAGTGGCTAGAACCTTTTTTTTTTATTTTTTTTTATGACATGTGTTTCTTTTCATACAAAATCGTGTTCTTATGGTATATTCTAATTCAAATGGGGTTAATTGCTCCTCTATACCCACTTTTTATTTCCCCGTGTTCTTATGGTATTATTCTAATTCAAATGGGGTTAATTTCCCCTCTATACGCACTTTTTATTCCCCCTTTCTTTTCTTTTAGGAAATGATTCTCACACTTTCTCTCCTTTCTATGCACGTTTAATCATTAACTTTCAGCGGATTTTTGCTGATATCTTATGCAAAAGATCCTTATTAAATGATCTAAATATTAGGAACACAAGAGTGTACAGAAAAAGGGATTTGGATCCGTGATCCTCACATTTTATTTATTTATCGTATATTGTGCGATCAGAAATTATTTTAAATTTTTTATTTAATATTAAACATAGTACCTAATAAAATATAACCGTACAATATTCAATAAACGGATATAATACGAAAGTTTCTAGAATCCTAAAGAGAATTCGAAGGACATCTTCAAAGGAAGTATGAATTTTACGACCATTTAGGGGAAACTTGACAATGGATCCCAGTTTCAGCTCTCTTCTCAACTCAACAAAAACTACGAGAAACTAGTGTAAGGTGTGAGATTTAACGGACATATTTTCAGGAAAAACTCTTCTCTATATGGTGGCAGACAAATATATCTAGAAAGAAATGTATCGAAATGCAAAGTTCCAAAATATAATTTTTGAGATAATTGAGTGGTCATATCTTGGTACGTGCCGCCCAGCTTAGCATCGTGCTCCTTAATTATCTGAGTCGATCGCAATAATTTCTTCTTCGGTAGAGTGTAGCTCTCCTTTGCTCTATAATCGCAAAACAAACATTGAAGCAAATGCTGAAGCAATCAGAGTAATAAGAATATTGGAGGAACAGGGCTTATACCATATATTTGAGGTTACATCCAAGAGTTAATTCTGCAAATGAACTTTCTAATCGAGGCAGGAAACAGTAAGAGGCCTCATTTCCCAAGAACACCTTCGAGTGTGACCTTAGAATGCTCTTTATGTCAGTTGATATCTGAGGAATCTTATCCAAATTGTTAATTTGCAGGGGAATTTTGGTGATGATGGCATGCCATTGCGCACGTGACGTGTGTACAATTACCTACCAAGTTTACATGAAACTCTCTGAGATATTGTAGAAAGTAAAAAGTCTAACTAGATAGATCAAGCCGCTATCTTAGAGCAGATCCATCGGGGGTGGGAAAGGCCAGCACCTAATCAAAAAACCAGCCCAGCACCCAGTGAAACCACTCTAGCCCAGCATTTTGACTGGCACCTAGTCCAAGCTGGTCTCCATGCCAACCCAAAATCGACAGAGGCGTGAGCCAGCCTGTATGACGCTATGCTGACGCTAGCGTGACGTCGTGGGCCTTTTTTTATTTTTTTTATTTCTACAATCTCCACCTGCACCCTCACCGCAATCTCCACCTCCATCACTCTCCATCGCGCCTCTGATGCCTCCCGATCCTTGGAACCCCTATCTGATACACCTGTACGCCTTCTTCATCTACACCCCATCTCAAATCCCTCCTTCCTCTTCCCGATTTCCACTCCTCCAATCCTGGGGCTCTGGTTGCTCCGATCAGGGACTGCGCAGAGATAGCTCTCTCTGATTCGAGGAACAAGAAGAAAGACCTGTTGGTCTTTTGATCCAAATGAAATCAGGTGCATAATCCGCTTCCTCATTTGAAGAAGAAAACATGGAGAAAAAGGGGAGAAATAAAAGAGTGGAGAGAGAGACGGTTGGTTGGAGAAATAAGGGGAGAAAGGACTGAAGAAGGAATGGAAGCAGTGGGAAGGAAACAAAAATGGTAGACCTTTTGAGAGAAAGGAAGAAAAAAGAACAAATAAATTAAATGGTAAAATATTAATTGATATGAATAAAATAATATAATATTAGATGGGCTGGGTGCTAGCAGATTTTTAGGGATGGAAATGTTTTAGCCTATTACTGTACATTGGAGTCTATTACTGTTCATTTGAGTAGATAAATGAGTTAGGTGCTGACGCAATATCTTTAGGAATAGAATTGCTCTTAATGTTAAACCATTCCCGGGCTGACACTTGTATGATGAACTTAGGTCATTTCAACCTTACATGATTGATGGTTTACAGCATAATAGGTGCCCGTCTCTAAGGAGTTTTTCTTTCTTTTTTCTTCTTCTTTTCTTGTCACTGGGAGATGATCAGTGGAAAATGAGGAGAGACACGGCCTGTATATAAAGAAATCTGAGACCGATTCAGTTTTGATTTATGAATTAACTTCTGCTCCTGGATCATTAGCAGAGAGAGGCTCTTTATTTGTTTTGTTCAAGACTAAGTCTAAAGACTTGTGATATATATATAAGCATTATTTGTTAGCACTAATGAGAGTCTTTCTTTTTTTTTTTTCAGGCTTTTTAGAATACGATGATTTCAAACTATACTAAGATGATTTCAAATCATCACTTTGAAATCATTCGGTTTGAAATCTTTTGGCAAACTAAACGTTCAATTGTTCGATTCAATCCCTGAAAATTAAAAATGAGTGTTATAAGATTTGAAAATGTGGGGTGTATGCATAGAATATAATATGTATATTGAGAATGTGGGGTGTGGGGGTATTATGGAAAATAAGTGGGGTGTAGTAAGATAATTTTTAAGTGAAAAAGCAAATGTGTGGTATATTAAGTATGTGGGGTTTATTCAACAATTTGTGGGGTGTTAATATAAATAGCCAATTTGTTTCCTTTTTTTTTTTTAATTCTATTTTATCCTATAACTTCTATTTCACAAAATTTGTTTCATATTTTTTTTTTAATTTTATTTTTTCCTATAACTTCTATTTTACAAAATTTGTTTCATATATTTTTTTAAATTCCATTTTTTCCTATAACTTCTATATCACAAAATTTGTTTCATATATTTTTTTAATTCTATTTTTTTTTCTGTAACTTCTATTTTACAAAATTTGTTTCACATATTTTTTTAATTCTATTTTTTTCCTATAACTTCTACTTTACAAAATTTGTTTCATATATTTTTTTAAATTCTATTTTTTTCCTATAACTTCCTAAGTCATTATACAACATTATGTTGTAGTTTTTAAATAACAAATAATAGAATTTAAAAAACAAGCCCTATGGCCCTTTGGCCCTCAATTGAAGACGGTTTTTTTGTGACAGGGCTAAAACGAGCCCTATGGCCCTCGGTTGGAGATGGAGGCAAATATGACCATGTACTGTTCATTAAAATATTAATATCTTGGAGGGCCAAGGGCTAAAACGAGCCATCTAGCCAGCCCTCAGTTGGAGATGGTCTGAAGCCGATGGCTACATAAGTGAAAAGATGAAGAGTCGCAACACAAGAATGCTTAAGTTTTTTTATTGGGAAAGTAGAGGTTAGAAGGTGAGATGATTGGATAAATGACTAGGAATAAAATATAAAGTGCATATATAATGATAATAATATATATATATATATATATATATATGAACAAATAAATGATATAATATTAATAGTAGTGGTACGGTACGGTATACCACTAGTAATGATTTTGAATACCATTACCGTACCGAAAATGCATGGTGCAGTACAAATATTGTACCAGTACCAATGGTACAAATTTTTTGGCACAACTTTGGTATAATACGGTTGGTAATTCAGTTGGTATGGTAATTTGGCAAACAATTCCACCCCTATATAAAATAAATATTTAGACAGACAAAGTGTGAAAGTGCGAGGCCTATTTGACCAATAAAATCCATGGCATAATAAAGTCAAAAACCATTTTCAAGTAAACCAAAAGTGTAGATGTATGGAAATCCGCCGGTGATTATGAACAAAAGTCAGTTGTGTTTTAGCAGTCTTTAGATTTCTTTTCCAGATATACCAACCACATGGCTCAATTATCTACTAGCTAGTTGACTGTGACCGTCCAACTCTTGCTTTTTGTTTCTCTTTAAAATTCTACCAAGTTAGAAAAATCGATCAAAATATGTGACTTCTTCTCTTCTCTTTTCTTCTTTCCTCTCTTAGAAATTGTGAACCAAAACCCAAACGTTTGAGCCTCTCTCCGCCATGAGAATCAATCCGAAAGATCCAGCTGAAAGCCTGTACCCATGGACCTCCACCAAGATCACAATATGTTTCTTGCTTGTGATCTCCTTTACGTATATCTCTTACTCTCTAAAATCTGTCTTACCTTCTAATCTTTGTAGGGAACAATATTCTGTCACGTCCCATCTCCAATCCGAGGCTCCCGCCACCCCATCTCAGCCGATATCCCCACCGGTACCGGCACCCCTGGAACCCCAAGAGCCCAAAACTAACTTATCCCACATAGTTTTTGGCATTGCAGCTTCAGCCAATCTGTGGGGAAATAGAAAAAAATACGTGAAGCTATGGTGGAGGCCGGACCAAATGAGAGGCAATGTTTGGATGGATCAGCCGGTAAAAGTTGAACCGGAGGATGAACACCTTTTGCCGCCAATAAAGATATCTAGTGACACTTCCAAGTTTGCATACACTCACCGGAAAGGCCACCGGTCAGCCATACGCTTGTCACGTATTGTTACGGAGAATTTCAGGCAAGGCATGGAGAATGCTAGGTGGTTTGTGATGGGGGATGATGACACAGTTTTTGTTCCTGAAAATCTGGTTAGGGTTTTGCAGAAATATGACCATAACCAATTTTATTACATCGGAAGCTCATCGGAGAGCCACTTGCAGAACATTTATTTTTCACATAATATGGCTTATGGAGGAGGTGGGATTGCTATAAGTTACCCTCTAGCCAGAGCCCTAGAGAAAACGCAAGACAAGTGCATTGCTCGGTATACTGGATTGTATGGCTCGGATGATAGGCTTCAGGCTTGTATGGCTGAGCTTGGTGTTCCTCTCACCAAAGAACAAGGGTTTCACCAGGTTAGTCTAATGTCACTATCTTTTCTTTTCTTGTTTTTTGTTTGGTTACCGAGAAAATAGAGAATAGTGAAGGAAAATCTATGGCATGTTTTCTTGATGATTTGGACTGGTATAATAATTACAAATGTCGAAATTGCTAATCTTTTTTGTTTGTGAAAAAATACAAACCAAATTTATGGTTGAATCAAAACGTTTCTGTTTTAAACCCTTTTGTTAGTTCATAAGGCTTATCATCAATTAATGGTTAGTTTCTTTTCGGATTACACATTCTTAACGTTACTTCCACTCCTCCAAGAGTTTGTTTCAACTTATTTATGTCAAAAAACTAAGAAGTATGTAAAGTGTTGGATTAGGCTAGATCAAGAGTTCGACATTCACTTTAGTTAATTTACTACGTATTGTTTATTTTTCCTTTCTAACGGAACGGAATAGCCTATGATTGGAATTTGTTGGTGGTGTTGGGTGACCTAGTACTTCGTCTACCACCGGCCAATAATATATATAATTGACTGTTGACTTATGTTGCATATGCCTTTTGTGGTGTCTTTATATGATTCACTAAACAACATGGACTCCTTTTACCTAATCCTTTGGAAATCCTTCTGAATCATAATCTTATTTCAATTAAGTGTACACAAATTTCCAACGTGAGTTGCATGATCCGTTGAAAAATAGAATTTCACGTGACAAATAATTATAGTTAATATATGAGAGTTTCTATCCCTAATAGCACCGAGATTTTTTATAATAAAACCCAACACCTAGTGATAAGTGATTAAGTTAAGACAATATCAGTGAAATTGGTAGTAAACCTACATGGGCTTATAAAGTTTATCATGAGCCACATGACCATAGTGCAAAGTCATTGTCAATGGTGGGTGACACTCGATATTCCTAATAAAATAGTGAATTATTGATCATTTCAAGTTTCAAATTATATGTATGTACATTTGAACAATTTTAGACCAGTCTTTTACTTGATCATTTATACTTTTGTTTTCATTTGTGGAATTGTATTAGTTTGATGTATATGGAAGCGTGTTCGGACTCCTTGCAGCTCATCCGGTCGCGCCCCTTGTGTCACTTCACCACCTAGATGTCGTTGATCCCATATTCCCCAACATGGAACGAGTCCAAGCCCTACAAAGGCTTAACGTTCCCATGAAGATCGACCCGGCCGGACTCGTTCAACAATCCATTTGCTACGACAAGATGCGATCCTGGACTGTATCTGTTTCATGGGGCTATGCGGTTCAAATATTTCGGGGCATTTTCTCTCCTCGTGAAATAGAACAGCCAGCCAGAACGTTCATCAATTGGTACAAGAAAGCTGACTTCATTGGCTACGAATTCAACACTCGTCCCGTCAGTAGACACCCTTGTCAAAAACCATTTGTGTATTACCTGACGAATGCTGTGTACAACAAAAATACAAATCATACAGCAACTGAATATGTTCGTGATCAAGCGCCAAATCCTCAATGCAACTGGAAGATGGCAAATCCCTCTCGCATTGACAGAGTACAAGTCTACAAAGCATATGATCCGCATATATGGGACAAGGTAATCAATCTAAAGAAAATATTAGTGTTAGTTTTTCAGCACAAAACGTGTGAGGCGTTGATTGATGTGAGGTTAATTTTTTTCCTCACATCTAATTTATTTCATTCAGTTAGTTGGCACCCATTACTAAAGAATATATGTTCTTGTAATTTGAACAGTCTCCAAGGAGAAACTGTTGCAGAATCTTGCCAAGTAAAAAGAAGAAAGGTACCATGGCCATTGAGGTAGGAGCATGCAATGAAGATGAAGTGGTTGAACTGAGGTAAAGTTTATATGATTTTTAAGAGCCTTCCCCAGTCATAATTTTGTTCATTTTTTCTATAATAAAAAAAAAAGAAAAAAAAGAAGAAAAGATAAAAAAAGAAAATTTAGTTACCATGCATGCCCTTGTATTCGAATATTTATGCTGATTAAAAAATGTAGTTTAGTATAGAAAAGGTTGAATTTACATTCAATATACCTTCATATTAATTATCATTCATGCATGTTGCAACTACAGACTTGCTCTCTTAAGGTTTTTATTTTGAGGACCTGTGAGGACTAGAAGCACATTAGTTATAAAATTATATTAGTTTAGATTTAAAGGTTTAAAATATTTGACAATATAATCTTATGACTAATATGCATTTGGTCAAAATGACAACGTACGTGTACCCAAATTGCCCGTGACCCAACAACTTCCCGATCGTGTACCGCTTATCGAAATTCTTATCGTACCCGAAATCGGTCCGCGTTCCGCAGGGAATGACCCCCGTCCGGCTCCTGGAGTTGAGCTTGTTTTTGGGTTTATGAACAACCTGCTTCTTGGGCGGTTCATTGGGTCCGTGGGAGGGTCTCTGTTCTTGCTTCCCGGCCGTTGTGCTCTGTTTTCGGTTGTGATTGGAGCCAGGGGTGGCGGGCGCGGTGTTATTACTATTTGAGCCACTGACTTTGATGGTGGAGAAGCACCCTCCCATGGTTGACCCAGAAGATAAAAAAACAGAGAAGGGAAGAGAGGTTTACTTTTCAGAGGTTTTGATCGAAAACCATTGCTGGCGGAGAAGGAAATGGATCATTTATGGAAAGGATCAGAGAAACATTGGAGCAGATAGGAGGAACAAGAGAAGAAAGAGAGGGAGGAGAAGGAGGGGATGGTCAAAAGAGGGTTCTTATGACAAAAAGAAAAAAAAAAATTAAAATTGAGAGAGAAAGAGAGAGAGAGAGAGAGAGAGTTGGCGCGAACGTTATTATTTTCAAAACAGATTTTCTGAATTTTCCTTATGTCTTTGAGGGAAATAAACTATTTAACATCTCATTACTATATTTATTATTTGTTAAATTAATAGCATATCTAGTAATATACCATTTTTGGTCATTTCACACAGTCACAGCTGGTTTACAAAAAAGTTTACCAAACACTATGATACTGCTTTTTTTTTTTCCAAAAGCACTTTTACAAAAAAGTTTACCAAACACTTTGCTGCTTTATTTCACAGCCGCTTATTCTCACAGCACAGCTGCTTATTCTCACAACAGCTTTTTTTCAAAGCACAGCAATACCAAACCAACCCTAAGAGGGTTGCAGGTGAGTTATCAAGATGGATAAAATGTCAATTTTGGGCCTTTTTTGTTGTTGTAAATTATAAATTTGTAAGTTGTGGTTATGTATGGGGCTGGAAATTATAATTGTGTTCCATTCGGATAAATAATTTTTCTTGTTCTAGGAGGAAAACCATTTTGTTATCTAAAATCCTTACATACTCGAAGACAAAGAAGGTGCTGACCTAAGTTTGTGCTGTAGTCTAAACAAGAATGGCAAAGTGAGCGATTACTTGACGATCAAAAGAATCATTTCCACAATCAAATTCATTGCCACAAAAACTCTCAAATTAAAATTCCATAGAGTATGATACTCATGGAGTTTAACCGCATTATCTAAGAAGTAAAATCCAAAATTAGCAAACTTCTAATCAGTTTGTAGTAATTAACCAACCTAGATGGACAAAACAGTGACCCCGTCCCATTCTCCCGATTTCCGAAGAGAGTCATAGCACCATACCGGCTATCTATATTTTCGTACTGTCTAAATCCAAACTTGACGGAATTAATTCAATTTTCTTTCACCCCTTGCAACTCCAAATCAATATCAAAAGTGACAACATGAGCCAATTCTTTGTTTTAGTTGTGTGCGTTAAGCCATGGTTTCATACTGTCTAAACGACGCAATTAATTCAACTTTCTTCCATGCCTTACAAATCCAAATAGATATCTAAAGTGACAACACGAGCCAAATCTTTGTTTTGGTTATATGCATGGTCCAAAAAACTCTTGAGTATTTTGACGACTACATCGTTTTATGGTAGAATTCCATTTTGAAATTAAAATATTTTCTCTCTATTGTTTGAGAAAGTTGCACATATAATTTGGCTATTAGAAACAAGGTTAGTCGACCATCTAAATTCACAACCTATAAATTCCAGGAAGGGTTGATCAATGATGTCGACAAAATTGGTCACATACAAGCATAACACAGTTGTGCCGCACCACTTATTAATCCGACGTGGACAAGTCCACCCAAAACCTCCAGCTAATCAGCCCCGAGCGCGTGGGTCCCGCCAACGACTCGGACTTTCCCACCCCTCAAAACACACATCCGAAACTCAGGTCTCGTTCTTCCTCTTCCACCATTCGTGAATTCTGCAGATTTCCCCTCTCATGGAGTTTCCGTACAGAAAGCTCCTCTTCTCTCTCTCCCTATTTTCTCTCTCTACCATTTCCGCCCTCTCTCGCTCCTCCTTCTCCCCCATAGACAACTACCTCGTCGACTGCGGCTCCACCGCGGAATCCACCGTCGACAACCGCCGCTTCGTTCCCGACTCGTCCAAGCCCGACTCCTCCCTGTCCTCCTCAACTCGCTCCATCTCGCTCAGAAATGAAAACCCAGTTCCCAATTCGCCCCAAATCTACAGCACCGCCAGGGCTTTCAGGCGGCCGTCCAAGTACGAGTTCCAGATCCGCGACGCGGGGACCCACATGGTACGCCTCCATTTCCAGGACCTTTAATTCTTTGAAATTGGATTGGAATGATGCTCAATTTCATGTTTTGGTCAATGGGTTTGTGGCTTTGACCGACTTTAGAGCTGCAAAAATCCCCATGGTTATGGAGTTTTTGATCTGGGTCGATACCAAAAAGCTTGTAATTGAATTTGTTCCTGCTAAAAAATCGAACTTTGCGTTTGTGAATGCGATTGAGGTGATTTCTGCGCCTAAGGATCTTGTTGCTGATACAGCAAAGTTTGTGAGTGATGACAAATCTGAGAATTTTAACGGGTTAATTAAGCAAGCGCTTCAGGTTGTGTATAGGGTTAATGTGGGAGGTTCGAAAGTGACGCCGTTTAATGATTCTCTGTGGAGGACTTGGGTTACTGATGATGAGTATTTGGAATCGGATTCCGGGTCGGAAAGGGTGTATTTTGGTGGTCGGATTAATTATCAGGATGGAGGGGCTAGCAGGGAAGTTGGTCCTGATAATGTGTATAATACTGCCCGGCTGATTCATAGTTCGAATGCTTCGATTCCGAATGTCAATATGACATGGGTTTTTCCTGCTGTTGGAGGATATAAGTATCTTGTTCGGTTGCATTTTTGTGACATTGCTAGCATTTCGATCGGATTGCTGTATTTCAATGTTTATGTGAATGGGAAATTGGCATATGAGAATTTTGATTTGTCTATGGCAACGAATTATATGTTGGCTTCTCCGTTCTATGCGGATTTTGTGGTTGATGGAGAGGAATCGGGTGTTTTGTCCGTAAGTGCAGGACCTTCGAATATGAGTATGCCTTATGCAATTGATGGGATTTTGAATGGGATTGAGATCATGAGGTTGAATAACTCCATGGGGAGTCTTGACGGCAAGCACTGTGCCGGGTGGGTTCTGAGGAACTGGCCGAAAGGAAATGTTGGTGCGGCGGTTCCTTTGGTTGCTGCCGCCTGTTTGCTGCTGAGTATTTCATTGGTCATGCGTAGGAGGATGAGCGGGAAGGAATTTGTGGGATGGTCGAAACTGCCCACTAGTGTTTCAGAAGTTAATCTCAAGCATGGAAACACCCAGCTTTCGGTTAAATAGAACAGCAGTATAGGATCAATAAACACCAGCTGATAAGTTTGAGTTTGAATATGAATGTTGTATTGTGTATTCTATAGGTAATAGGTTGTATGAAACATTATGAAATGTAAACAATTCACGTTTGCGTATGTAACCAAATCAATGGTTCTGGTTCACGATTTAGCAGCAAAACATGTTATGCGGTTTGGCAAGAGAATATTTCCTGATAATGCAACGGTCTAAGTTGTATCAATTTCTAGCCACATTTCCTGTAGTTTCACAATGGAGGCCCAGCGATTGCTCAGTTGGGTGGCTTGGCATACTTTCAGTTCTCACTGCAACAGCTTTTTGCAGTTTTGTCTGCTCTTATTTTGGTTTGTATGCACTGGGTAATTTTGTTATAAATTGTTGATAAGGTATTTCTATTTACTTTAGCATGTTAATATGCATGTCTCAGTGTTGTGTGTACTGGATAATTTTGTTAAACTAATAATCCTAAAAATAGTCATTTAGTACTACGGTGTGGTGGTATTACTTATCATTTGTAAGTAAGTGGTTTTAGGTTCGATTCTCGCCAAAAGTGAACTTGAATTATATTATTACTAGCTCATTGTGAGGTTTAGCCTATTTTCTTACCCCATTAGTTTAGATAATATCATTTGTTCAAGAAAAATACATAACCTACTAATAATTTTTACGGCGAAATTGAAAAAAAAAAAAAAAGAAGAAGATAAATTAGGGTTTAGAGTAAAAAATTTGGTCTTTAATAAATATGAGAAAAATAATTTTACGGTCTAGTGATATTCCTCTTCACTTGTAAATTAGAGGCTTTAGACTTGAATCTTGTAGATGGTGAAGTCAATACCAAATTATATTATCCATTGTGTCGCTTGAGCACTTTCATTGTGGGCAATAGCCTTGTGTATTGGCTCCAAATTAATTCCAACCCCTCCAACCAACCTCGGGCAATTAGGCTAATGGGAGCCCAATCAAGAGGTCAAGTGGAAATCCAAGGCTGGAGCATTTGGATTGATGTGACGTCAGGCTGTTAGTCACGTTCTAGAAAAATTAACGTCAAGCACGAGGACAACACGTGAGTGTGGGGCACGTCTCCGACAACATTTCAGACGGTGAGGCCCGCATGGCAGCCCACTTAGTTATGGTGAGAGGATTAAACATACGTAGGTCGATTGGGTTTATAGCTTTAGTGGTAAGGTACTTGCTTTCCCGTTTATGGTATGAGTTCGAGTAAACGTACATAGGTTGACTGGGTTTATAGCTTCAGTATTATGGTACTTCCCACATTTACGGTAAGAGTTATACTCTCGATTTTCTTTTGATAAAACTCCTTAAAATAGGAGATATATTTAACTTTTGATACTAGTCATGATCTGATTTTCTTGACATAGAAACAGTAAAAAGTAAAATTCTAATAACATGGAAATTAAGGTGTATAATGAAGAAATTTCATAACCGCATTGATCAGCCTAGATTTTATTTGTAACAAGACACAGTCAACAGTTTAGGAATGTTTAATCCACAAGGAAAATA